TTCCGCGGGTCACAAAGCGTCCCGAACAGATCCTTACCGAATTCGGTAGAAGGCAATTCGGTGGCAACCGAAAAGCCAGAATTCGGTGCACGCAACCTAGCTCGGTGCTATAACTATAATAAAATATAGGAAAGCACCTAGCCTAGGAAATCAAGCAATTCATGCATGCATATGATTACCCTATGCTAGAAATAGCATGATAAAGTAGAGGCAAGCAAGCATAGCTGGCATAAGCCGTCGTACTCTCACAATGCGTCTGCGTTCCGGGTCTGGGGATCTCGGGCGTTTGTCCGCGACTTGTCTGCGCACAAGCTGTCCCCCCGTGCTGTTCCCTCCGTCTTCCTTGGCTTCCCCCCTTTACGCGCCTGGTTGGCAGTTTTACCACCCCAACTCGCACCGTGTTCTGTCCTCCCAGGACGTCACCTTTGACGAGTCGGTACCTTACTAACGTCTCTTTCCCTACCGCACTGCGCCCCTTCCCCCGCCCCCACTCTTCCTTGCGCCAGGTCCTCCTCCGGTAGACCCCCTCCCCCCTCAGGGTCCTGCCCCATCAGGTGTGTCCCAGGTAGACGCAATCGAGCCTGTCAAGGTAGCTGTTGACTCAGGTGCTGCTAGAGCTGCTGAGCCTGCGGGTGCCGGGTCTGGAGGTGCTGAGTCTGGGGGTGCTTAGCCTGGGGGTGCTTAGTCTGGAGGTGCTGAGCCTAGGGGTGCTGAGCTTGGGGGTGCTGAGCCTGGGGGTGCTGAGCCTGGGGGTGCAGAGCCTGGGGGTGCGGAGCTAGGGGGCGCTGGGTCTGCTCGTGTGGCCGCCGGCGATGCTTTGTCGAGGCGGGAGCCACCCTCTCCACACGAGCTGCGCGAGTGGTTTGCCAGGCGCTGGAGCCGTGCTGGTGGAGCTGGAGGTACTACTGTTGCTGCTCGTCCCGGAGGTGCTCGTACTGGCCGTACTAAAGCTGCTGGGACTGGGGGTGCTGCTGGGGCTCCTGGAGTTGGTCCTGCTGGAGCTACTGGCGGTACTGGAGCTGCCGGTTCTACTGGAGTTGGTGCTGCTGGAGCTGCTGGAGCTGGAGCTGCTGGGGGTGTTGGCGCTGGTGTTTCTGCTGGCGCTGGTGCGTCTTAGTGTGCTGGGGTTGGCGCTGTTGGAGCTGGAGGTGCTGCTGGCGCTAGTGCTGCCGCTGGGGGTACTAGTGCTGTCCCTGCTGGTTCTGGAGGCGCTGCGCGGCCGAGGCCGTACTTCGTTCCGCTCCTTGAGCAGGTTCTTGGTCTCCCGCCCTCTACTGGTCCTGCTCCTCCCTTAGAGTGTCCACAGCCTGTCCAGTCGCGGTCACAGTTACAGCCCGCCTCCCCCCTACCTGCTCCTCCTCCCTACACTGGTCCTACTGGAGGTCTTGCTGAGCGTCGTGACCCTGCGTCTCGTCATGCGTCGCCTGTTCGTGCTGCTCGCACTAGTGGTCGTGCTCTGCGTCCGCGTCCTCATGCGGTCCCAGGCACACACCAGATGGCACTTCGTCCTTCCACTGCTCCTCTGCGTGTCCCGTTGCCGTCTCCTCCAGAGTCCTCTCTTCCTGTTCTTGCTGACCCGGAGTCTGACTCTCTTCGTACTGCCAGTCCTACTGTCACGCGTCTCCTGGCTACTGATGTCACTGACCCATCCTTTGAGTCCACTGCTGCGTCTGCCCTAGTTGCTGAGCTTGTCGACTTCGCTGCTCGCTGTCGTCTAGACTACGCTACTAGTCTTGTTGCTGAGTCTGAGTCTGTCTGTCCTCCGTCCATCGGGGGTGAGTGTGCTCTTAGCACGGACGTCCTTGAGGTCCGGCAGGAGGAGTTCCATTGTTTTGCTGCTGCTTTACCTCATCTCGTGTCCACGCTGATTGCCCCTGAGGGAGACCCGGATGCACCAGACATCCCGACTCCTCGATCGTACGCTGAGGCGATCGAGGATCCCTACTCCTCACAGTGGCAGTCAGCCATGGACGCAGAGATTGCTTCCTGGAAGTCCACAGGCACCTACGTCGACGAGGTTCCCCCACCTGGGGCGAACATCGTCAGTGGCATATAGATTTTCAGGATGAAGCGGCTGCCGGGTTCTCCGCCTGTCTTCAAGGCGCGTTACGTGGCTCGAGGCTTCAGTCAGCGGTAGGGAGTTGACTACTTTCAGATCTTTTCTCCCACCCCGAAGATGACCACTCTTCGGGTGCTGCTGCACATAACCACTCAGCGCGACTACGAGCTTCACTCTCTTGACTTCAGCACAGCTTTCCTGCAGGTCAGCCTGCACGAGGAGATCTGGTTGCGCCGCCCACCAAGCTTCACTGGGTCGTTTCCTCCTGGTACCCAGTGGAGCCTCCGGCGGCCAGTCTACGGTCTCCGCCAGGCGCCCCGTGAGTGGCACGACACACTGAGGACTACACTTGCGGCTCTTGGGTTAGCTCCTTCTACAGCCGACCCGTGGATGTTTCTGCGCACCGACACCTCTTTGCCGCCGTTCTACATCCTCGTGTACGTCGACGACTTGGTCTTTGCCACAGCTGACACTGCTGGACTCGCCCACGTGAAGTCTGAGCTGCAGAAGAGACACATGTGCACAGACCTGGGTGAACTGCGCAGCTACCTTGGCTTGCAGATCACTCGGGACAGAGCACAGCGCACCATTACCCTGACTCAGTCATACATGGTGCAGCAGGTCCTTCAGCGCTTCGACTTCACGTACTCCTCGCCTCAGGCCACTCCTCTGTCTACTCGCCACTCGCTCTCAGCTCTGCCTTTGGATGAGTCCGTAGAGCCGAGTGGCCCGTACCCAGAGCTTGTTGGCTGCCTCATGTACCTGATGACCTGCACACGACCTGACCTTGCATACCCTCTTAGCATCTTGGCACGCTATGTTGCTCCTGGGAGACACCGACCAGAGCACATGGCTGCAGCGAAGAGGGTGTTGCGCTACTTGTGCAGTACGTCGGGCATGGGGCTAGTGCTTGGAGGGCGACGTCGAGTGGTCCTCACAGGTCACGCTGACGCTTCTTGGGCTGACGACCAGGCTCTGCAGCGGTCGTCACAGGGTTACACCTTCAGCCTTGGCTCCGGCTCTGTTTCGTGGCGGTCTACCCGCTCGTCTTCTGTTCTCGGCTCCAGCTGTGAGGCTGAGATCTACGCGAGGGCCATGGTTGCACAGGAGCTACGTTGGCTCACCTACCTGCTGACTGATCTAGGAGAGCCGCCACGTTCTCCTCCAGTTCTGTACGTAGAGAACAAGGCCATGCTGGCCTTGTGTCGGGAGCATAGACTGGAGCACAGAACGAAGCACATTGCTCTTCGCTACTTCTTTGCTCGTGAGCTGCAGCAGCGTGGTCAGCTGCGCCTTGCTTACGTGGCTTCTGAGGCCAACACTGCTGATATCTTTACCAAGGCACTTCCGCCTGGTGATCATCAGCGCTTTTGTACGATGCTAGGTCTTGTGCCTACTTGGCCTCACTTGCTCACTTATTGACCTTGCTTGTACTGTGATCTTTCTATATTTGCACTTGTTTGTTTACCTTTATATATGATCTTGCATGTGAACTGGCCTTCTGGCCTTGCTCTTGTGCTCGGACTGTGTGGTGACGTTGTGATCCACTCTGAGCTTGCTTTGCTTTGCTTGACTGGTCTTGTGACCTCTTGTTCTCCCCCACTTTGCCTATGGGGGTGTCTCAAACTTATATGCTATAGTCTGTGTAGGTTGTAGTGGGGTAGACAATATGGGGTACAACACTTCTAGGTTTTCTTATTTGTACCCACCTGCTTGCTAGTTCATTCATTCCTCATTCTTCACAGCAACCGGCCATGCGACAGGCGGTCTTCACTTGTCGGCCAAAGAGTTACGATGGCGAAAAATGTTATTCGCGACAAACATCACTGGCACAAAGGGTCACGGGCAGGTTGGTTGGAACACATTTTTCACGGTCAGGTGGGCGCGGAATTGTGAGCGGCTGGCCTTGTCATATGCGGTGGAGCCTTGCGCCCAAGCCCTTCGGAATCCGGAGCACACGGATCCAAGGCCTCGGATCATGGGGCAAACGCACCCGGAACTCCGCCACAACGTTATCAGAGTCCCGAGGGGTGCTTGCCATTCATTTCGGGTCACACAAAAACATCGGAATCGTGGTTTCAGGGTTATTCAAAACTAACGCTGAATTGCATGATCTCCTAGAGGCGACGATCGAATGGAGGTCCGAAGTTCATTCAAGATGCGGAAGTGTTGTATCTCTGTTGATAAGCGGGTTATTGATGTTCAGGGAAACCCTCTACGGCTGAGTGATTGAACACAGCAGCCAAGTAGTATATGGAAGCAGGTTATTTGTCGGCCTGTGTCAAGAACGATAGTGGTTGCGGAAAGTAATTAAAGTAAATTACTTTCATAATTTACACGTATTGGGGACTGCGAAGAGTCTCGAGAATTCATCGCCCACATCCCCAGCAGCATTTCGTTTCGTGTCACGAACGATTACTTAGGTGGGGGGCCTAGCAGCATCACTGACCGACCAGTCTACTTGACTGCGAACGCGGGCGTGTCCATTTGCGTCTCAGCACAATGCGCTTTTCCGCTCCGACCCTCTAGGGTCACCGCTGGGCTCGGCGCGCTTGCCTTCTCGCCATTGCCTTCGCGTTTGCAGTTGCGACTCGATCACATTGCCAATTCCCGGTCAGAGCGTCAGAGCTTCCGCTGCCGATACCCTTCCATCCGATCAAACAACCACTTCCGTTCTAACCACTTTATAACCGCCTCCTGCCTCTCATTCTTCGTCATCAAATCGTAGCACAGCAGTGGTCGCAACTGTAACGTCACCTCTGTCGCGGCTCGTCGCATCAACGTCACTCGCACGTCGCGCGCGCGTCGCACGTCGCCGCCTCGGCTGAGCCCGGAAATTTCATTCTGCCGCGCCTATTGATTACTTCCACTGGTTCTTGCCGGCTGCCGCCGCGCCGAAACCACCATCCAACTCTGCTCGGCGCCGCCCATCGCGCCAAATATGGCCTCCCACTTAACTCTTAATCTCTTCTGTCTTGCTCTCAATCTCTCCGCCTGCCACATCACCCCTCCCCCTGGCCGCGCTTTACCCGTTACATTCCCCGGGCTTGGCCCGGGACCGGCGGGCGGCGCATTCCCCGCGGGGGGCGCATTCCCCTCCGCCGTGGCGGGTCCGCGCGCGTGCAGCGAGGCGGAGAAGGCGGAGGCGGTAGAAGCGCTGCTGGCGACGACTGAGGGTCTTCGCATGTGGCGGGGGGAAGATGCGCGGATCTGGTGAGGAGGTGTAACAATGCAGTTGTCACGTCTTGAGTTGAGAGTGCGCGGATATGAGTGTATCATGTATGATGTAATGTGCGAGTTGTTCGTATGGGAGTGTACTGCAGGGTAAGTGTAGCTTTCTGTTGAGAGTTGCATTTTGCACAATTTCACATGCATCCCATTCTCCTCCCCCACTTCCTCCCCCGCTTATTCCCGAAACCCTCTCCCTTATTTTGTCCCTCACCCCTCTCCCTCCCTCATAACCCGCCTCCCCCCATCCCCCCGCCAATCCTCCTCTTCCCCCATGCCACCCCCCCTTCATCGCACTAACCCTTCTTCACCACGTCCCTCAGTCCTTCACAAATGCCTGACCCTTTCTCCCTCCCTCCTCCCCCCCACCTTCCCCCTTACCTCCCCCCCTCCTCCCCCCCAGCACGAGTATTAAGGGCGTGTGCTTACACCCGCACCCCATCTCCGTGTCTGCCCTCTCTCGCCCTTCCGTCCAGCTTCAGTTGTCTCATAACCCGACCCGTTTCCCATTCCTCCCGCCTCTCCCCCACACCACCGCCCCCCACCCAGCACGAGCGCCAAAGGCGTGTGCTTTCAGCCGCAGCCCATGTCCGTGTCTGCTCGTGGCGGCAGCAGCGGCGGGGGCAGCAGCAGGGACAGTGTTTGTCCCAAGCTGCTGCTGCTGCTGACTAAAGGTGCAGGAAGAAGGAGGGACAGATAGGGGGTCTGTCTGATCTGATCTGCTTGACTTGAGAATGGTGGTGGTGTGGTGGCGTGGCGTGGCATGGCATGCAGAGTGGCGGCTTGAGATGAGAGAGGAGGTTGGGAGGGACGGAGAGGGCGAGGGAGGGATGTGGGGGGAGAGGGAGGGAGGGAGAATGGGGGGAAGGGAGGGAGGGGGAGGGGGAGGGGTGATTTGGATGTTTAACGCTCTCTGGCACTCTCTCGTACTTTGGTACAGAAGGGAACCCAGAACCCTACACTGTACCAAAAATTTGCCCCCTTCCCTCCCCCTTCCTTCGTCCCAACTCCCCCCCCCCTCTCCCCCCTTCCCCTTCCCCCCCCTCCCTGCCCTCCGTTATCCATGCAATTTTCTACCTTCCAAGCCCTGATTTCTTGCCCTGGTTTCGCCTGTTTCTTTCTGCATGTGTTGTTTCCTGTTTTCTTGCCCATTCCTTGGAATCACGGATGTTTTTTGAGGCGTCTGAAATAAACTCGCGTTTCTTTGCGCATTATCTCTGTCATGTCCTCTTGCCCTCTTGTCCTCTTGCCCTCTTGTCCTCTTTCCCTCTTGCCCTCTTGTCCTCTTGCCCTCTTGTCCTCTTTCCCTCTTGCCCTCTTGTCCTCTTGCCCACTTGCCCTTTTGTCCTCTTTCCCTCTTGTCCTCTTGCCCTCTTGTCCTCTTTCCCTCCTGTCCTCTTGCCCACTTGCCCTCTTGTCCTCTTTCCTACTTGCCCTTTTGTCCTCTTGCCCTCTTGTCCTCTTTCCCTCTTGCCCTCTTGTCCTCTTGCCCACTTGCCCTCTTGTCCTCTTTCCCTCTTGCCCTCTTGTCCTCTTGTCCTTCCCTCGCAAACCTCAGATGCTCCCTTCCAGGTACTGCATCGACCACTCCCATCCAAACGAACAAAAACCAGCAGCAGCAGCAGCAGCACCCCGTGTGGCAGTTTCCTCTCTCCTTCCACCCCCTCCTCCTCTTCGTCCTCCTCCCCGCCCCTGCCTCTCCTCCCGTGCTCGCCTCCACGTCTCCTTCCTGCACTCCTAGACGCCAGCATTTGCCTGCAGCTGAGCGCCACAGCAGAAGATAAAGCACGCAGCAAGCACAGGCGCGCAGACAGAGTGGAGAGAGCTGGAAGAGCTACTGCTGCTGCTGCTGCTGCTGCCTCCGCAGGTTCTCATGGGGGAAGCAGGGCTAGTAGTGACAGCCTCCAGGGCCGCAGGAACAGAGGCCGAGGCAGAGGCGGTACAGAGGGTGATAACACAGAGGCAAAGACCAGGGATGATGAGGGGAGCAAGATGAGGGACGGTGGGGCTGGGAAGGCTGGGAAGGAAGTGGCAGGGTCAAAGAGGAGAGGAGAGGAAGGAGGAGCAGGCAGGGGAAAAGGGACAGGGAGGAGGGAGGGTAAGGCTGGCCGTGGCGGGAAGGCGAAGTGGAGAGACGAGGAGGAGGATGAGGATGAGGAGGAGGAGGAGGAAGAGAGAAGGGGGAAGGGGAGGCTGGGGGGGAGTGTGGTGGGGGGGAGTGGGGGGCCTGAGTCGGTGCCAGCAGAATCACAGATGCTCATGTCGGTGGCGGTGCAGCAGGTGTGTGCATGTGGATGTGTGTGTGTGGGTTGGGTGTGTGTGTGTGTGTGTGTGGGCTGGGTGGGTGTGTGTGTGTGTGTGTGTGTGAGTGTGTGTGTGTGTTGCACTCCCTCCCTCTCTCACTCCTTCCCTCCCACCACCACTCCATTCAAATGGAGAGACAGCAAGTGCCAAGTGGTAAATACTGAAGGAAAGTAAAGCAAAGTGTTCTCACAGCACCCCTGTCTCGTCCCATCCCACCTCTCCCCTCACCTCTCCTTTCACCTCTTTCCTCCCATCTCCCCTTTTCTTTCCCCGCGCCTCTCCTCGCCCCTTTCCTCTCCTTCCCTCCCCTCTGGCCTTCTCACCAGGTCAACACGGGCAACTTCCAGCAGGCAATCGACATGTTCAGCACGGTGAGTGTTGAGGTTTGAGACGCCTCAGAAAGACAACCAACATGTTTAGCATGGTGAGTGCGTGTGACTTGTCTATTGTCTTCCCACCAATAGGCAATCCCATGGTACACTTACACTTGTGTCACCAAACCCAACCCCAATCCCTCTTTCTCCCTCTTTCTCCCTCCCTCCTCCCTAACCTATCCATTAAACAAAAGCTAAAGCAGCCACTGTTGGTGCCGCCGGCTGCGTGGTCCGGCAGAAGCACGGCATATGCGTCTTCACTGCCCTTCACTTGCTGTTTTTTTGGTGCCTCGAAACAATTTTCGAGGCCCTCAAAACACGGCGTATGCGTCTTCACCACCCTTCCTCCTGTTGCATCACCACCACTTATACCTCAATCAATATCTCCAACAATATACTCCCCCCCCCCCCATTCCCCCCCTCACTTCCCCCCCTCCTCTTCTCCCGCTGTTCGCCAACAGATGATAAAGAAAGGGCACTTGGTGTCGGCGGCGCTGATTGGCAGAGGCACGGCGTATGCGCTGTGGGGCAAGCTCAAGACGGCCATAGAGGACTACTCCAAGGTCGGTTCCTGCAGGTTCTAGTAGGTTCTTTGAGGTTTCTACTAGGTTCTACTAGGTTTTCAGGTTACTTCTGGGTTGTCTCTAAGGTCACCTCGCTGTGGGGCAAGCTCAAGACAACCATAGAGGACTACTCCAAGGTCGGTTCCTGCAGGTTCTCGCAGGTTCTTGCCGGTTCATGCAGGTTTTGGTCGGACGACAGGAGGATGAGAAGCATAGGGTAGATGCATGGGCGAAGGGAAGGGCAAGGTAAGTAAAGGGTGTGTGTGTGTGCGTGCGTTCTAGGGGGGGGGGAATGCATGGGCGAAGGGAAGCCAGAGCACTGCACGCGGCATGTGCACTTTGGGGAAAACAAGGCGTTCTTTCCCTGCTCGGTTTCCACCCACCCCTGTTCTCCCTGACAGGTTTTCACTCGCCCCTGATCTTCCCGTCTGTCTGTTTGGGATCCACTCTTCTCCCCTGCACGGTCCACACCAGGCGATAGGGGAGGAGCCTCGCATGGCCGAGGCGTGGAGGAGGTTCTTTAGTATGCTCAGAAATCAGTGTTTCCCACTCTGTCCCCCCCACTGCATGTCTAGTTTTGAGTCGACTCAAAACTAGGTTTCCACTCTGTCCCCCCCACTGCATGTCCACACCAGGCGATAGAGGAGGAGCCTCGCATGGCTGAGGCGTGGAGGAGGCGAGCACAGGCGCGCATGGCAGATGGGCAGGCTGAAGCGGTGAGGAGTGGTGCATGGGGTTTGAGGGGTGGTGCATGGGGTCTGAGGAGGGTGGTGCATGGGCGACAGATGGCACATGGGCATAGGTAGGGGTGTGCTCACAAGAGAGAGCAGCAGCATAGTGTGTGTTGAGTCTGCTTTTGAGATGTCTTTCTGTCACCGGAAGAACAGACATGCTAAACACAACATCTAAGCACTACGGCTCACTGGATATAATATGCTGCAAGAAAGCATGTGGTGCCATGCCATGCCATGCCATGCCATGCCATGCCATGCCACTGAATCAAACGCCTCATAAGGCTTAGGGTTAAGGGGGGCGTATTAAGAGAGGGGAGAGGGAGGGAGTATGAAACGGGTCAGGCAGAAAGAAGCATGTGATGATGTCCTCCCATCATCTCACCCCACCACCAGACCACCCCACCGATCCAACTCCCCACCGCCCCACAATCCCACAAGCTGTGTGAAGGGTCTGAGCAGTGAAGGGCCTGAGCAGTGAAGGGTCTGAGCAGTGAAGGGTCTGAGCAGTGAAGGGCCTGAGCAGTGGGGGGTCTGAGCAGTGAAGGGTCTGAGCAGTGAAGGGTCTGAGCAGTGAAGGGTCTGAGCAGTGAAGGGCCTGAGCAGTGAAGGGTCTGAGCAGTGAAGGGCCTGAGCAGTGAAGGGTCTGAGCAGTGAAGGGCCTGAGCAGTGGGGGGTCTGAGCAGTGAAGGGTCTGAGCAGTGAAGGGTCTGAGCAGTGAAGGGCCTGAGCAGTGAAGGGCCTGAGCAGTGAAGGGCCTGAGCAGTGGGGTGGAGCTGGAACCAGCATTCCCATTTTTGAGGCGCCTCAAATGTCCACGGTCCTACCTCTCACCCTACCACCCAACTGACCTGCCACGCCACCCCACAGCCCCATCACCGCACATGCAGTGAAGGATCTCAGCCGAGGGGTGGAGCTGGAGCCATGCAATCAAATCCCATTCTTGAAGCGCCTCAAATGTCCTCCCCATCCACCCCACCGCACCCCACCTCTCCCCACCTCTCGCCACCTTTCTCCACCGCCCCACAGGCAGTGAAGGATTTGAGCCGCGTGGTAGAGCTGGAGCCGCACAACATGCAGGCCTACAACGAACGAGGTGCGTACGCGTGCGTGTGTGCTATAGCTGGTTTCGTTCCCCACAGCTGCTGCTGCGGATATGGTGCTGCTTCTACAGCTTGTCTGTTCCCAAGGTATTCCGCTGCTCGCGAGGCATCTTATAGGGCTGTTGTTGGTGATGCCCCATCTGCCTCCACCTGCAATTCTCAATGCTCAATGCGTTTTCTCAATGATAATTCCCAAAACACACATTCAGCCTCATCTTCCTATCCTATACATGCAATGCTCATCTGGTGTTGCACGTTTTTGCGAAAGTTATGCGTTGATGAATTCGTCTGTAATGTGGGGGACACACACGCACAATTGTTGTGTCACATCACCATAAGTGAGGTACTCTGATCTGATCTGATACACACAACTTGCTAACTTCCGCGTGTGCTAGGCATCAGCTAGCTACAACCCCCCACCCAACCACCCATCCATCCACCTATCCATCCGTCCATCCGTCCATCCGTCCATCCGTCCATCCGTCCATCCGTCCATTCATACATGCTTCACTCCACAACATTTATCACCATGTGTGCACCACACTGCATGACACGACACGGTCTGGGATGCATGGCGCGTCACGGCATGACATGACATGGCATGGCATGGCATATCATCACGTTGCATGACATGGCATCCCATGGCACGGCACGGCATGGCACGGCATGCCATGTGACCCACGCACACATGGCATGACACGGCATGCCATGTGACCCACGCACACATGGCATGACACGGCATGGCATGGCATGGCATGTACCCCACGCACACATGGCACCACCAGCAATGGCGCACCTGAGGGCGAAGGCGAACTGGGATGCAGTGCGGGACATCAAGTACGTGCTTCAGAAGGACCCCTCCAACGCCTTCGCCATCACTCACCTGGTACGTTGTGTTGTTGAGGGCGAACCCGTTCTAGCAGCATCTCCAAAGGCGAACTGGGATGCAGTGCGGGACATCAAGTACGTGCTTCAAAAGGACCCCTCCAACGCCTTAGCTATCACCCACCTGGTACGCTTTAAACTGCTTCTGCTTCTGCTGCTCCTTCGCTCACCTGCTACGCTGCTGACACTCACCACTCACACCACCGTCACTCACCATTCACCAAACCCCCGCTTCACCCCAGCCCACCTATCCCCCTCTCATCTTGCTTTGAGGCATATATATCAAGCGACTGGGCTGCAACAAGTCTTTCTAGAGTCGACTGTAAACCAACCCCATTGCACTGCACCTCATCCCACCCCACCCCACCCCTCCCTTTTTCTGCACCAGGGCCAGGTGTATCTCAGGCAGCGATTGTGACAAACTCTCACTGGAGTCAACTCTCAAAATCATCCTCTCGCCACCCCACCGCATTCCGCCCCGCCCCACCCCTCTTCTCACTGTCACAGGGCCAGGTGCAACAAGGCAGTGGAGGCTTTTCATAGACATCCCTCCCTCCCTCCCTCCCTCCCTCTCCTCGGCCCCCTTTTTTTCTCTCTTCCTCCTCTCCCTTCCCCCACACACCTTACCCCCCACCAGGGCCAGGCGTATCTATCAGGTGGCGACTGTGACAAGGCAGTTGAAGCATTCCAGAAAGCTTTGAAGCGCGACAGCAACAACAGGGACGTGCTGCTGCAGCTTGCGCAGTCACAGCGCGAGCTGGGGCACGTGGACGACGCGGAGAAGACCTACCTTCCCCTCGCTCTCCACTCCCCTTCCTCCCCATCCCCGTTGTGTCTTGCTTCGTCCCCATCCCCGCTCCCTCCCCTCCCTTCCCCACCCCCAACCCCACCCCCACCCCCCCACCCCCTCCTCCCCTCCCTGCCACTCCCGTGCGCCCAAGCAGGGCCAAGCCTATCTATCAGGTGGCGACTGTGACATGGCAGTTGAAGCATTCCAGAAGGCTTTGAAGCGCGATGGCAACAACAGGGACGTGCTGCTGCAGCTGGCGCAGTCTCAGCGCGAGCTGGGGCACGTGGAGGACGCAGAGAAGACCTACCTCAAGGCGCTGAGGCTCGACCCGCGCCACCCGCAGGCGTACCGCGTGTACAGCCAGTTCAAGCAGGCCATGGGGGACCACAGGTAGGTGGGGATGGGTGGGCTTGTGTGTGGGTGGGTTTGTGTGTGTGCAATTAGTGTATGTGCAAGTGGGTGTTCATGCATGTGCACTTGTGAAGGAGCAGCTACATGCGGGCGCTGAGGATCGACCCGTGGCACCCGCTGGCGTACCGCGTGTACAGCCAGTTCAAGCAGGCCATGGGGGACCACAGGTGGGTGGGTGGGTTTGTGTTTGTGCAAGTGTATGTATGTGCATGTGGGTGCACAGGTAGGTGTGCATGTGTGTGTGTGACGACGCAGCTATCTTCAGGCGCTGAACATTGACCCGCGCCACCCGCAGGCGTACCGCGTGTACAGCTAGTTCAAGCAGGCCATGGGGGACCATAGGTGGGTGTGTGGCTATGCCTGTGCCTGTGCCTGTGCTTGTGCCTGTGCCTGTGCCTGTTCTGTATTTCACTACCTGGCTCATGTCTAAAGCCCAACATCCGCCCTCCATGCCCCACCAGAACACACTAGCAGAGGCGAGGCATCGTGGACTATTGAATCGACGGCCGACCCAGAACCCACCGTGCAAGCAGTGGCACGGCATAAACTGCAGTTGAGGCATCTCAACACTCCTCTCCTCTCTCTACGTCCACATCCCATCCCTCCAGGACCGCGCTACTAGTGGCGAGGCAGGGGCTAAAGCTGCTGCCAAACGACATGGATCTGCGCTACACTGAAGCCTCCTCCGTGCACGCACTCGGACTCTTCTCCGAAGCGGTGTGTGTTCTCTCCTTTTCTCTCCCTTCCTGCTTCCTTAGACTTCCCAGCTCAGAGAGTTACATTTCACTGAAGCCTCCTCCTTCCCTCCTCCTCCGTGCATGCACTCGGACTCTTCTCCGAAGCAGTGAGTTCCCTCCCTCCCTCCCTCCCGTTTTGAGACTGCTCACCGCGCTGCACCGTGCTACACCGCCCTGCTGCACGCCCTGTGCTGCCCGCCGCGGGCCCACGAACGAGTTTTACACCCCACCCCACCATCATCCACCTCTTCTTCTTTTGAAGCACCTGGATAACGGATTGCTCACATTCCCACCCTATGTGCGATCTCTAAACCCGTGGCTCGTCCCCCACCATCATCCACCATCGTCCACCATCATCCACCATCATCCACCATCATCCACCATCATCCACCATCATCCACCATAATCCACCATCATCCACCATCATCCACCATAATCCACCATCATCCACCATCATCCACCATCATCCACCATCATCCACCATCATCCACCATCATCCACCATCATCCACCATCATCCACCATCATCCACCATCATCCACCATCATCTACCATCATCCACCATCATCCCCATCATCCCCATCATCAAGCATCATCCCCCATCATCCCCATCATCAAGCATCATCCCCCATCATCCCCCATCATCAAGCATCATCCCCATCATCCCCATCATCAAGCATCATCCCCCATCATCAAGCATCATCCCCCATCATCAAGCATCATCCCCCATCATCAAGCATCATCCCCCATCATCAAGCATCATCCCCCATCATCAAGCATCATCCCCCATCATCAAGCATCATCCCCCATCATCAAGCATCATCCCCCATCATCAAGCATCATCCCCCATCATCAAGCATCATCCCCCATCATCAAGCATCATCCCCCATCATCAAGCATCATCCCCCATCATCCCCATCATCAAGCATCATCCCCCATCATCCCCCATCATCAAGCATCATCCCCCATCATCAAGCATCATCCCCCATCATCAAGCATCATCCCCCATCATCAAGCATCATCCCCCATCATCCCCCATCATCAAGCATCATCCCCCATCATCCCCCATCATCAAGCATCATCCCCCATCATCAAGCATCATCCCCCATCATCCCCCATCATCAAGCATCATCCCCCATCATCAAGCATCATCCCCCATCATCAAGCATCATCCCCCATCATCAAGCATCATCCCCCATCATCAAGCATCATCCCCCATCATCAAGCATCATCCCCCATCATCAAGCATCATCCCCCATCATCAAGCATCATCCCCCATCATCAAGCATCATCCCCCATCATCAAGCATCATCCCCCATCATCAAGCATCATCCCCCATCATCAAGCATCATCCCCCATCATCAAGCATCATCCCCCATCATCAAGCATCATCCCCCATCATCAAGCATCATCCCCCATCATCAAGCATCATCCCCCATCATCAAGCATCATCCCCCATCATCAAGCATCATCCCCCATCATCAAGCATCATCCCCCATCATCAAGCATCATCCCCCATCATCAAGCATCATCCCCCATCATCAAGCATCATCCCCCATCATCAAGCATCATCCCCCATCATCAAGCATCATCCCCCATCATCAAGCATCATCCCCCATCATCAAGCATCATCCCCCATCATCAAGCATCATCCCCCATCATCAAGCATCATCCCCCATCATCAAGCATCATCCCCCATCATCAAGCATCATCCCCCATCATCAAGCATCATCCCCCATCATCAAGCATCATCCCCCATCATCAAGCATCATCCCCCATCATCAAGCATCATCCCCCATCATCCCCCATCATCAAGCATCATCCCCATCATCCCCCATCATCAAGCATCATCCCCCATCATCAAGCATCATCCCCCATCATCAAGCATCATCCCCCATCATCAAGCATCATCCCCCATCATCCCCCATCATCAAGCATCATCCCCCATCATCCCCCATCATCAAGCATCATCCCCCATCATCAAGCATCATCCCCCATCATCAAGCATCATCCCCATCATCAAGCATCATCCCCCATCATCAAGCATCATCCCCCATCATCAAGCATCATCCCCCATCATCAAGCATCATCCCCCATCATCAAGCATCATCCCCCATCATCAAGCATCATCCCCCATCATCAAGCATCATCCCCCATCATCAAGCATCATCCCCCATCATCAAGCATCATCCCCCATCATCAAGCATCATCCCCCATCATCAAGCATCATCCCCCATCATCAAGCATCATCCCCCATCATCAAGCATCATCCCCCATCATCAAGCATCATCCCCCATCATCAAGCATCATCCCCCATCATCAAGCATCATCCCCCATCATCAAGCATCATCCCCCATCATCAAGCATCATCCCCCATCATCAAGCATCATCCCCCATCATCAAGCATCATCCCCCATCATCAAGCATCATCCCCCATCATCAAGCATCATCCCCCATCATCAAGCATCATCCCTAGTGAATTGCCCCACTTCACTTTGAATCTCTCCCGCCTCCCTCCCAGGTGCAATTGTATGACAGCTTTCTTGGTATCAATTTCCCGCCAGACGAGGAGAGGACCAAGCAATTCCAGGCCTTCTACCAGGTACCGTACGCGGCGTACGCCTATGTTATGTTACTACCTGCATACATGGACATAGTTTCGACGCGCCTCAAAAGTGCACTTACGTGGATACCTATTGTATCACATCCCCTACGTACTATGTAGTGCATGCATGCGTACGGCCTACGGCATAAGTGCATACTGTATACACACGATATACCACATACCACATTGTTTCCACCCCTCCCTTCCACCCTTCCCTCCTCCCCTCTCCCCTCCCACCTCTCCCTCTCCCCCGCTCTTCCCCACCGCCCCTCACACCATGGGTATGACACAGAGGGAGCTGACGTGCTACCTGGCCATGAGGAGGCACAAGCCGCTGCCAGCACTCAAGATAGACGATGAGCTCAACCCCACCTTTAAGGTGCGCCTCTAGTCCGCTCATTGTTGATAGGTAAGCTCACACATGCTACCTGGCCATTCTTTTGAGGCGCCTCAACTGCCATGAGGAGGCACAAGCCCCTGCCCTGCCAGCACTCAGATAGACGACGAGCTCAACCCCACCTTCAAGGTACGGCTCCCCTTCCCTTCCGCTCACACCATGGGCCTGTCTTGATGCGAGGCTGACTGACATGCTACCTGCCTGGATGACTCTCAAAGCGCTCCAGCCACGGCCAAAGGGTATGGCTTTCCTTCTGCTCACCCTTGATGTGGGGCAGAGGGAGCGGGAACTGACATTCACGCTTCCCTTTACACTCCCATTTACCCGGCAACAGGAAGGGTGGAGCAAGCGCATGCCCCCAATGGTCCTCTTCCCCGGATACGAGATGCAGCCAGTGCTGCAGGTGGCCCGCCTCCCGCCCTCCGAGAACGCCGGTTACCGCCTAACCTTCTCGAAGAAGATGCGCGCGTTGCTGCAAGCAGCGGAGAAGCTAGGGTCCCTGGTGAAATACGACTGGCAGGGATTCCTGCCCAACAAGAGACAGGTGAGTGTGTGTGGGTATGAGAGTGAGTGTGAATGATTCTTGAGTCGACTCAATAAGCTGAGAAGCTAGGGTCCCTGGTGAAATACGACTGGCAGGGATTCCTGCCCAACAAGAGACAGGTGAGTGTGTGTGGGTATGAGAGTGAGTGTGAATGATTCTTGAGTCGACTCAATAAGCTGAGAAGCTAGGGTCCCTGGTGAAATACGACTGGCAGGGATTCCTGCCCAACAAGAGACAGGTGAGTGTGAGTGAGAACCCCCAAGGTTTTGCTTGTGGTACCTCAAGGCAGGTGTGTGCGTTGCTGCAAGCAGCAGAGAAGCTGGGGTCCCTGGTGAAATACGACTGGCAGGGGTGTCTTCCCAACAAGCGCCTATACCCCCCCCCCCCCCCCCCCCCCCGCCCCCTCCCCCGCCTCAATCCCCCGCATCTCTTCTTTCCCGTCCTCCCCCCTGGGTGCATGGGTCACCCCCACCAGTACCGCATGGCAGGGCTGGCAATGATGGAACTCTCCCACCTCGCTCCTCTCCCCGCCCCTTTTCCCTTCCTCTCCCTTCCTTCGCACTCCCTCTTCTCCCTCCCACCCCCACCAGTACCGCATGGCAGGGTTGGCAATGATGGACCTTCGAGACCTGGTGCGCCGCACATGGGCAGTCATGGCGGAGGAGAGAGACGGACGGGCTGCTGCTGCTGCTTCTGCTGGTGGTGGTCGGGGCGGTGATGGGGGTGGTGCTGCTGCTGGTGCTGCTGCTGGTGGTAGTGGGAGCAGGAGGGGGCGGAGGAGGCAGCAGCGGCTGCAGCAGCTGCAGCAGCAGCAGCAGGAGCAGGAGGAGCAGCAGGGAGAGTCAGAGGGAGCAAAGCAGGAGGACAGGCAGGAGCAGAGGCAGCGCAGCAAGACGCAGGATCGCAGGCGAAGAAACAACAAGCAGCAGCAAGAGAAGGAGGAGGAGGAAGACGACGAGGAAGAGGACGAGGAGGAGCAGCAGGGGCGGCGGTCGCGGGGGCGCGAGAGGAGGGGTGGGGGGCGTGAGGCGGAGAAAGGGAAGGCGCAAGGGAAGACACAAGGGAAGGCGGGGGAGACGATCGGCGGGTGGAGGGAGATCTATGACCGTGTGGTGAAGTGGCGTCAGCTGGCTGAACCCATTGACCCTGTGGTGTGGATCGACAAACTCACGTGCGTGCATTGGGGGGGGGGGGGTTGTAGTGTAGAGGAGTGCTTAGCAAGGAGTATTGTTTTACAGGTGGGGGGGAGGGTTAGATTGCAAAGAGGGGGGAACAAATCGTGGCAGATTGAAGGAGCGGTTGTCGCAATGTCTTCTTCACAGCCCCTCCAATATCCGCCTGCCTTCCTCACCTCTCCCATCCCTCATAGCCAAAGAGCTCAAGGAGGGTTTTATTTTAGGTCCGTGACAGCCAGCCATGCTGGTGAATTTTGAGGGCCCCCATAATTTGTCTCTCTCCTGCCTGCCTCCTTCCTCACCTCTCCCATCCCTCAGAGCCAAGGAGTTTGAGGAGGGCTTTGGGTCCGTGACAGCCATGCTGGTGGGGCAGATGAAGAACAGCCGCTACTACTTCATCTTTGATCGGTGCGTGTCATGCCGTGCCGTGCTGTGCCGTGCCGTGACATGCCTTGCTGTGCCATGGGCTGTTTATCGTTGACCAATGCTAGCTAGCCATGCTGGTGGGGCAGACGAAGAACAGCCGCTACTACTTCATCTTTGACCGGTGCGTGCCGTGCTGTGCCCTGCCGTGACGTGCCTTGCTGTGCCATGGGCTGTTTATCGTTGACCAATGCTAGCTAGCCATGCTGGTGTGCCAGACGAAGAACAGCCGCTACTACTTCATCTTTGACTGGTGCGTGCCGTGCCGTGCTGTGCGTGCCCTGCTGTACCGTGCTGTACCGTGCTGTACCGTGTCGTGCCGTGCTGTGCCGTGCCGTGCTGTGCCATGCCGTGCCGTGCCGTGCTGTGCCATGGGTTTGAGGTCCCCTGACTCGGGTCGGGGTTTTGAGGTGCCTCGAAACAGCACCAGTGTCTCAAAACCAGGCTTCCAGGTGCTTCAAAACAGATGAAGAACAACGCGGGCATACATCAGTAAAAGACGAACAAACAATCACTAAAGCCAAGTGCTTTTATCTTTCACCAGTGCATGTGCATGTCCTTCCCTGCCTGCCGCTACTCTCCTCTCCATCCGTGCTTTACTGTTTTGCCTTTAGTGCTGTCTGCTGGTCTCTCTGTGCTACGTGTCTTCCTGCTGAGTAAGTGTGTTTCTGTCTATTGTTCTTTTGTCTTGCGTGCGTGTGTGTGGGAGGGGGGGGCGGAGAGGGGGGGGGGGGGGGAGGGGGAGTGTGTGCGTGCGTGTGTGCGAGCGTGCGTGCGTCCGGTGTGTGTGTGTGTGTGCGCCCATGTCTGTGTGTGTGCATGCGTGCACGCATGTTTATCAGAGCGCTGGACATCATGAAGGGGCGAATGCTGGATGATGGCGTGTGGAACGGGCACAACAACCCCGTCGAAATCACACCAGAGATGAAAGCACAGGTGGGTTTCCTCTCAGTACAGAGTTCTGATGCTTTTGAGGCACTCTCGAGTCAAAGCTCTCAAAATTCTTCTCTTTCATGGCTTTTGTCATGGCTTTTGTCTAGACGTGCCACATGAGAGCAATGAGGCAAGTAGTTAACATTTTTTTTATTATTATTATTATTCTTCATCTTCATTTTCGGTCTCAGTGAAAAATGATCGTCTGTCCCCTTGTGTAGATTAGGGATGAGCAAGTGGCGAACACGAACGTGTTCGTGTTCGCCCCTACACGAACACCTTCGTTTGCCGAACCGAACACTGTTCGGTTCGGCGAACACTTTGAGCAAAAAATGGTGTTCGCCGTTCGCCTGTGAAGGCGTGTTCGGGCGAACCTCGAACACTGTTCGTGTTCGTCGCGGGCAAATTGCAGCAGCGGCCCGAACACGAACGTGTTCGGGCGAACATCGAACACTGTTCGGCGAACATTTTAAGCCAAAAAAAAAATACCTGTTCGGTTCGCCTCGAACACGTTCGAGGCGAACCGAACAGGTGTTCGTGTTTTTGCTCAACCCTAGTGTAGATCAAGGCAGCAAAAGACGCGGAGGAGTTGTGGAAAGTGATCGGGGAGGACTACTGGGTGGTCACCTCATTGAGGCGCCTAAAAAAATATATATATATCTTCTCTCCCCCTTCCTGGTGTAGATCAAGGCGGCGAAGGACGCGGAGGAGCTGTGGAAAGTGATAGGGGAGGACTACTGGGTGGTCACTCCTTGCTACAGCACCGCCACTCCTGGGTGGGTGACAATACAGTGCAATGCGGTCATAGTTTAGAGGCGCCTCTTCATTCGCAAGGATGACTGGGTGGTCATGCCGTGCTACAGCACCGCCGCTCCCGGATAATGCACGCTGCGAGCTGCACGCTGCGGGCGCATCCCCTCTCCTGTGCTCCTCCCCTCCTGTGCTCCTCCCCTCCTGTGCTCCTCCCCTCCTGTGCTCCTCCCCTCCTGTGCTCCTCCCCTCCTGTGCTCGTTCCCTCCTCTGTTCCTCCCCTCCTGTTCCCCTCACTTCCTGTGCTCTCCCCTTTATGCTCTATCCTCATTGTCTTTGTCATTCATGAATACGTATCACCTTGCAGCCTCACTGCCTTGCTGCTGTGCTGCCTTGCTGCCTCGCCGCAGTTACTTGCATCATCTTCTCTCCCTCTTCAACCCCACTCCACCATTCCCCCCTTCCGTGTGACGCCTTCAGAGCTACATCTTAAACAGCACATACTCTCATCTTAATGTAAATGGTTACACTCAGATTCAGGGCAGAATTTATCCCCGCATCCCTCTGCACTGCACTGCACTGCCCTCTCCCCCTCCCTTCCCCTCCCTTCCCTTCCTCCCCCCCCCCCCCCCCCCTCTCTCCCTTCAGTTATGTGATGAACGGCACTCGCCTCACCATGGTTCGCACGTGAGTGCACTCTTCTCTCACCCCTCCGCCTGTATCCACTTAGATGCTCTGCTCTGCCCTTCTCTGCTCCACCTCACTGGTCCCCCCCCTCCTCGTCTCCCCCTCACGTCACCATATTCCCTCTAGCACCCATTCTCGTTCTTCTGCTTTCACCATCAAATGAGCCTAATAAATAAGTTCCAAGGTCACTCACTTCACCATCTCATTTTATGTCCCCACACCAAGCGATTGTTTTCTGACTTCACCATCAGAAGGGACTTTGCGTCGGCTTAAGACGATTCATTCTATCTATTTTCTTTCCTGCAGCCCCGTGTGTTTATTTTATAGCTCAGAATTTTAGGAGCTTTGCATTCATGCAAAATCCACCCCCCTCCCCCCTCCCCCCCCCTCCCTCCTCCATCGCCCGACACCGCACCACACCCACCCTCACCTCGCCCCGTTCCATTTCAGCCCTACATATTACGACTTTGCCATCAAGACACCCGGCACGCCTCCCCGTTGGAAGGAGTACGACCATGAGATGGAAGCTGCTTGGAAGGTGGGTGCTGTTTCTGTTGTTTCTCCCCCTTTTTCTCCCCCTCTTTCTCCCCGTCTTCCTCCCCTCGTTCTCCTCTCTTCCTCCCCACTCTCTCATGCGCACCACATCAATCTCCCTTTCTACCCCTCACCTCATTAACTACCCGCTTTCCCCCTCCCTCCATCCTCCCCACATCCTCCCCACATCTTCCCATCATCCTCCCCACTTTCCCCCTTCACCCCACCAGGCGCTGTGTGCAGCATACCTGGGCACAGGGCTGAAGGAAAGCAACATCACACCCCCCCATCCTCCCTTCACCTTCCTTCACTGTGTTAACGCCGTCCTCCTCCCCCACACCAGGCCCCGTGTGCAGCATATCTGGACGAAAATCTTTTTGAGTCGACTCAAAAGTCAACTCTTTTGAGTCGACTCAAAAGTTAACTCCCCCACACCAGGCCCCGTGTGCAGCATATCTGGACGAAAATCTGAAGGAAAGCAACATCACTCTCCCTCCTCCCTTCACTTCCTTCCTTTTGCGCACCAGGCGCTGTGTGCAGCATACCTGGACACAGCGCTGACGGAAAGCAACATCACCCTCCCTCCTCCCTTCACTTCTGCTCCCATCCACCCCATCCTCCCCCCCCTCCCCCACCCCACCAGGCGCTGTGTGCAGCATACCTGGACACGGGGCTGAAGGAGAGCAACATCACGGAGTATCGCCAGCGCATTCAGCGCGCCATTCTCTCCCTCGCCTTTTACTGGTGCGCGCGGGCGGGGCACATACAAGGGGGACGGGCAGGGGAAAGGGGAGGGCGAGGTATGGGGAAGGGAAGGTGGAAGAGCGGGGGAAGGACGATATGGTGGGTACGGAGAGAGGGGAAGCGTGACCGAAGCTACAGCTCCCCATCCTTCCCATCCCTTGCATCCCTCCCATCCCACCATCCCTTCCAACCTCTCCCATTCCCCGCATCCCTCATCCCTCTTACCCTCCTCATCCCCTCTCTCTCGCCCATCCACACGTGCACAGGTACTACAACTTCATGCCTCTCGCACGTGCCACAGCAATGGTGGGCTGTTTTTGAGTCGACTACAAAATCTTTTCATCCCCTTTCTCTCTCTCTCGCCCATCCACATGCACAGGTACTACAACTTCATGCCTCATCCCCTCTCTCTCTCTCTCGCCCATCCACATGCACAGGTACAACTTCATGCCTCTCGCACGCGGCACGGCCATGGTGGGCTATGTCACGATGCTGGGACTACCCCTTGCAGCCAATCTTGAGGCACCTTCAAAGTCATCCGTCCCATCCCTCATCCCCTCATCTCGGCCTCATCCCATCCCACCCGCCCATCCACACATGCACAGGTACTACAACTTCATGCCTCATCCCCTCTCTCTCTCTCTCGCCCATCCACGCATGCACAGGTACAACTTCATGCCTCTTGCACGCGGCACGGCCATGGTGGGCTATGTCACCATGCTCGGGCTATTCCTGGCAGCAGACATGCAGGTCACAGCACACGTGCCCCGAGGACTCCAGGTACCGCCTCTCTCTCTTTATAGATACTCTTCTCTCTTTGCCTAGCAGCGGACATGCAGGTCACAGCACACGTTCCCCGCGGACTCCAGGTACAGTGTTCTATTTTGAGGCGCCACAAAGAAAGGAAGAACGTACTGTCTTTTGAGAAATCTGAAAAATGCCTCCAAATGCTGCTCTCTTTGTCTTCTTCTGTCATTCTCCACATGACGTTTTCGTTGTCCTTCTCTTGTCACTACAATCTTTCTCTTGTCTCTTTCGATATGCTCTTCTCTTTGTCTTCTTCTGCCATTCTCCACATGACGTTCTCGTTCTCCTTCTCTTGTCACTCCAATTTGTGATCTCTCTTTCTCTTGTCTCTTTGAATATACTCTTCTCTGTTCCTTCTCCTCTGCTCTCCAATTTGTGATCTCTCTTTCTCTTGTCTCTTTGACGTTTTCTTCGAATATCCTCACCCTCCAAATACTGCTCTCCTTGTCTCCTCTCGTGACAGTAGCCCTACCCATAGTCCCGTCCCTTCCCGTCCCTTCCTGCTCCTTCACCACCCTCCCCTGTCTCTCCCCCTCTTCCCTCTTCCCCTCCCCTCTCTCCTCATCATTTTTGGCTGTCCAGGCATTTTGACAAGGCATTCCTCCTCAATATGATGGGAAAAAGCTTTTATGAGAGGGAGGGTGGTCCTGGATTCATGAATTGAAACAACTAGATTCCTTCATAGCTGCTTTCTCCCCTCCCTGTCTCAAACCCTTCCCTCTTCTTTCTCCCCTGGCACAACCCCCCCCCCCCGCCCCCCCTTCCCCCGCTTTATCCTCTGCTCTCCACTATCTCCCCTCCAGGCGGATTGGGAGGGCATTCTCTCTCCACGCCTGGACTCTTTCATAGGAGCTCTCTCCCCGTGGCTCATCCCGTCCATCGACTACACCTGCTCTGCGGTCAACAACCTCCCTTCTGTCCCCGTCACCGAGTCCCACCCATCGCCGCACCAGTCACCTCATACCTCCTCCCCTTCATCTCTCTCTCGTCTTATCCCCCCCCTTCCCCACCCCACCTCCTTCCCCCTCTCACTTTTCTTCTCTTCCTTCCCCCACCATCCACACCCTTCCCCCCTCGTTATCTCCCCTCCAGGCGGATTGGGAGGGCATTCTATCGCCACGCCTGGACTCTTTCATAGGAGCTCTCTCCCCGTGGCTCATCCCGTCCATCGACTACAACTGCTCTGCTCTCCACAAACTCCCCTCCGTCCCCGTCACCGAGTCCCTCCCGTCGCTTCTTGACATAATCAACGCTCTGAGTTTCTACGACCAGCCCGCTCCTCCGGTCACGTGGCCACGACTGAACTAGAGTAAGATTTTTTTTAGACTCTCAGTTGTGAGAAGCTTCCACTACGAATTCTATGCCCAAAGCTTCTATGACTAGCCTGCGCCTCCAGTTACCGTACATGGCCGGGATTGGACTAGAGAGTTTGACCTTTGATTGAGACAGTGAATGGCCTGCTCGAAAGTGCGCTCTACAATTTTATTACTGCTACCGCTACTCTACGCGGCTACGGTATGGCCGCGACCGCAATGCACACATTTTCTCCGGGGTGGTTTGCCATGATGCACTTGACTGTGGAAAGCCTATGACCCAGATGTTCCTACCTACCTGCCGTAACTTCTACTCCCATCTTTAACAAGCCAAATAGACTTTGTTGTAAGCCAGAGTATGGTAGCAAGATCTGAAAACGAGTACCACAGTTAACTGCAATTTTGAACGCTACATGGGAACTGCATTTTTAACGTGCTACCGTCTCCCCCCGGATATACCCCCATGGGGGGCAATAATAAAACAGGTTTTTTCATGGGGGTGGGCTTATAATCGAGTAAATTTATAAGCGCCGGCGTTTATAAAATGACATACATATTTTTATATCTTTTAACACCAAACTGTAGGTCTCGTGCTTGCCTTTTCAATCGAGTCGAAGTTACATGGGATCGTCTGTGAAATTCTCGCGCGCGCTGGGAGATACACCCAATCTGACTCACATCCAGCTCCTGACAGGTCCTGCTGACTGGACCCGCATCCAGTGCAGGGTCCGAATGTGAAGGGAACCGAATCTGCAACATATCCGCCTGCTAAAGTAAAAATCGTTACAGCTTTTTGAATACATTTCAAATTTTAAAGTTTACGTGCGCTTATAATAAAACAAGTTTTTTCAAGGGGTGCACTTATAATCGAGGAGGGGATATAAGCGCCATATGCCAATTAGAAGCGCCAGGCGCTTATCCTAGGGTGTCGCTTATATCCGGGGGGAGACGGTATTGTTTTTCCGGATGGTATATACTCAACTAAGATCGCCAACACACACATTCATTCACATTTTAATAGATAGAAGGGCAAGACAAGAGATCCCCCAAGGTAAAACTCTGGTAACGGCAGCTTCTCAACAATGAGGGCAACACACCTTCCCCCAAAACAACCCAATCCTGGTGGTAAGGAAAATGCATCACCAATCACAGCACTGAGCAAGGATGCCATCCCATGCCATGTCTTGTCATCTGTCCTCCACATGGCACACTGCATAACTAGTGTGGGTGAGGCTGTGTGGAGGGGTATGACCATGGTCCACCATAAGACCATGATTCTCAAGCTCAGCACGAGTGTTGTGGGTATGACCATGGTTTCCCATAAGGCCATGGCTCTCAACACAAGTACCAGTAGGTGCGGAGGCTGTATGGTCCCTTGTTGCTGCATCCTCCAGGCCATGTGCCATTCCGTTTATCCCATCCACCATACCATGCGCAATGCCATCTACCACCTCCTGTGGCATGTCATTCACCACATCACATGCCACATCTTGCCCCATGTCTTGCCCCATGTCTTGCCCCATGTCTTGCCCCATGTCCTGCCCCATGTCTTGCTCACCCATGTCCTGCATGAGCCCGAATTCATGCAGAGCAGCATCAGGCTCAGACATGCTTCCCATGGCACACAACACACTAGACGCCCCACAGTTCCACTCCAATCCCTCCCCACCGCTCCCAACCCCTTCCAACCCTTCGTCTCCCTCGTCCACCATCACAAAGAGACCCACTCCTACCCACGCTGCTCCCCCTGCTCCTTCCCCTGCACCAACCCCCCCAGTTACCACACCCACAGCAGAACCAGATCTTGCTGACTGCTCCACCTCTCCCACGGTCATCCCATGCTCTACCCCAGTCACACACCCTGATTCGACCCCCCCTCCTCCAAACATCACCTCCTCTCCTCCCTCCCCTCGCTCCTCTACCAACACCCCACCATCCTCTTCCCCACTCATCCCTGTCGCCACAGGCAATTTCAAAGAATCCCCCTCAAAAACCGTTCCATGCCATGAAGCCCCTTCCGCGCTCCCCACACACCCCGCACCCTCCCCCCTGTCCCCACCCTCTGCAGCCCCCCCGATAACCAGCGAGGATGACGTAGACATGACAGGAGTCCCATCGCTGCTCCTACCAATATCATTCAACACTAACATATCTTGAAACCCTGGAGCTTGTCCCCCATTCTCCACCCCGCCTCCACCCTCCTCCCCCACTCCCTCCCCCTCTCCCTCTCCACCTCCGCCCCACGGCTCTGCACCGTCCTCCACCGCTTTGGACCGGTGCAGCTCGAAGTTTCCGCTGCTGGTTTCGTCACACTCCAGGCTTTGGCGCATGAGTAAGGCCCAGTGGTTTCCCGGGGCAAAGGGCAGAGGAGAGGAGTAACAGAGAGGAACACCATCGTCCTCCTCCTCCCCCTCTCCTTCTTCCTCTCTTCCTCCCATAAAATTTCCAGCGCCCATGGTGCTGCCTTGGAGGCGCAAACCCCCAACTCCCCCAACGCTACCACCCGCACCAGCAGAACCAGCAGCACCAGCGGCAGCAGCGGCAGCATCACCAACGCCCGAGGAGGCAACTGCTGCCATGGCCGCAGCAATAGCAGCCGAAGTTATCCGCTTCTCCCTCACCATACCCATCAGTAGATCCCGAGCCTCGGAACCATCTGTATCTGACTGCCCCACAGCAGCAGCATACCGAGGAGAGAGCATTAACGCCTCATAAATAGCAGCAGCCGACGGTAGCAGAGGCTCATCCAAGTTTGAACCCACCCATGGTAAATCCCCCACCGGCTCCTCCCCCTCGTTTCCAAACCTCCACCCTTCCTCTACCCCTCCTCCTCCCCTCCCTCCTCCTGCCATCCCTGCGTCGCCCGAGATGCCTGTGGCTGCTGCTGCAGGCCGTTCAGAATAACCCCCCTTTCGCCCATCGCGGTCACCGGAAGCAGTGACGAAACGAGACAGCCTGCTACCTGTGGAGGTGCGAGTCATGTTGATGCTTCTACTCCCATTCCCAGACCCTGCTCCTGAACCTCTGCTGAAATACCGTGCTAAAACTGACTTAACCCGCACCTCCAATCGCCCACTGCCGCTGCCGCTCCCGCCAAAGCTGCTGCTGCTGCTGCCACCGCCGCCGCCGCCACCACTTCTGGCACTTGCATTGGCATTGGTACTGGTGCTGATGCTGGCAGCGGTGGTGGTGCTGCTGCTGCTCGCGCTGGTGCTAGCTCCCATTCTGCCACGAAAGGTGTTTCTAGAAGCACTCTCTTTCTCTTGATCACTGGAGGACGCATTTCCAGCACCCTTCCCACCACCAGCAGCGGCTGCAGCAGCACCAGCAGCAGCAGCGGCAGCAGCAGCGGCGGCGGCAGCAGCAGCAGCACCAGGCACCAGCTTTCTCCAGCTAGACCCCCCTTGCTCCCTGCCTCTCCTCACCCCACCCCTCTCCTGCATCTCTTCTACTCCACTCTCCCCACCCTCCTCTTCCACTCCCTCTCCCTCCTCATCAAGCCCTCTAAACCCCTCAGTCGTAAGTGACCTCGACCGATGCAATAACTTACTCCTCTTCTCCACACCCCCTTTCCCCCACGTCCCATACCCTCCCCTCACTCCCCCTCCACCTCCCACCCCTCCCCCGCCCCCGTCCCCTCCTCTTTCTCTCCCACCCCCGCCTCCCCATCCTCGCCTCTCCTCGCCAAGCCCTGCTCGTTTCCCCGGCCTTGATTTCCATATCATAGCCCCTGGTGACTGCCGGTTAGAATCCCGGGGACTCACCAGTGCCTGAAGCCCTGCTGCTATACCCAGGCTCAAAACTGATGCCTTGTGCCTCCGCCCAGATTGTCCCCCTTGTCCCCCTTGCCCCCCTTGTCCCCCAAGCCCCCCTTGCCCCCCAAGCCCCCCTTGCCCCCCTGGCCCCCCTGGTTCCCCCGGCACCCCTTGCCCCTCCTGTCCCCTCTGCCCCCCTTGTTCCCCCTGTTGCCCGTGTTGCCCCTGCACCCCCTGTCCCCCAAGTCCCCCTCCCCATGCCTGTGCAGGTGCTGACCACAGGGAAGGAAGAAAATCCTCTTCCTCTTCCTCCTCCTCCTCCTCCTCCACTCCCTTCCCTGCCTCTCCACTTGCTTCTTCCCCTGCTGCAGTCGATGTGGACAAACCTCCTCTTGTCCCTCCTCCTGCTCCTGCTGCTGAAGCTGCTGCTGCTACCGCCACTTCTGCCCCTGCTGCCACATCTCCCTCCATTTCACCTTCTCCTCTCCCTACCCCTATTCCCGCAGCAGCAGCACCATCACCACCGCCTGACTCCACATTAGCCCCTCCAGTCCCTTCATCAGTAGCAAAAAATCCACCACTCCTGCCTTTACTACCCATACCCTTCCTCACCCATCCAGCCACACTCAGCATCCTGCTGTCGAGACTCAGAGCCTTGTGATGATGATGATGATGATGATGATGTTGATAATGATGATGTAGCCCCTGGAGATGGTGTGATGTGTGTTGCTCATGTTGGTGATTGGCCTCATACTTGTGCGTGAGATGCTCTTGCTGCTGCTCCTGCTGCCATTGCTGCTGCCGTTGCTGCTGCTGCTCCTGTTGCTGCTCCTGCTGCTGCTCCTCCTCCTCCTCTGCCTCCTCCGCCTCCTGCAGCTGCTGCTGCAAACCGGCCCAGGCTGTTGCTGTTGCTGTTGCTGTTGCTGTTGCTGTTGTTGTTGCGTTGAGAGCCTCAGCAGCAAGGGTACTACTCTCACTTAGAGGATGTGGGGGAGAAACGGAAGGCTGAGGAGGGGAACCAGAGGGAGGGGGACGAGGTAGGGCAGGGGGGCAATTATGCGGCGGAGAAAGAGGCAGAATTGAAGCTGCAGCAGCAGGAGCATCACCAGCAGCAGCAGCAGAAGGAGCAGCAGCAGCAGCAGCAGCAGCAGCAGCAGCAGCAGCAGCAGCAGCAGCAGCAGCAGCAGCAGCAGCAGAAGGAGCAGCAGCAGCAGCAGCAGCAGCAGCAGAAGGAGCAGCAGCAGCAGCAGCAGAAGTTGCAGTGGCAGAAGGAGAAGAACTAGGAGGAATTGTGGTGAGTGAAAGAGTAAGGCTCAGAGGAAATTTAGTGGCCTCAACAGCAGCAAGGCCTTGAAAGGAATACTCTGCCGGTTGTGAGGAACACTCTGCTGGTTGCTCTGCATCACAAGACGCTTCTTCCCCATGGGCGAAACGCTCGCACGGGCGGGCGGCACTGGCTGCAGACTGGTCCACGTCAGCTGCCACATCAGCTGCCACATCAGCTGCCACGTCAGCTGTGGCGTCACCTGGCTTAAAAACTGGTGTTCTTGACTTATCCGACTGATCTGCAAGTGGCGTGTGCAGCACTGACGCTTCTCTAGTGCCCTGCTGTGCTGCCCTGCTCTCCATGTTACCCTTGCTCTTGGCCTCCTGCCACTCTCCACCCTCACACTCCCCACCCTCGCTCATATTGATACGCTCCCCTGGGTTCCCATCCACTGTGCTTTCACCGTCGTCTCCAACGCATGGGAAACAAGACGCAGCAGCAGCGGCAGCGGCGGCAGAGGAAGAAAAAGCAGCAGCACCACCAGGCGAAGCTGCAGCAGCAGTCGCAGAAGCAGAAGCAGCAGCGGTAGCAGCAGCAGGCGCACAAGTAGCAGCAGCAGCAGGAGGCGTAGCAGCAGCAGCAGCAGCAGCAGCACCCCCACGGGGAGAAGCAGAAGGAGTGGCATTCTTTGCCTTAGACCTAGATCTCCCCCCCCACTGTGTGTGACCCAGCACAGGAGGCGTGGTGGGGGACGACATGGGGGAGAAGAAAGACCGAGTGACAGACCCTACACGCGGGCTGATCAACGCCTGTAGCCCTGCTGCTAGTGCTCCCTTCCGCCCACTCCCTCCTCCTCCTGCCCCGCCCCGGCTTCCTCTTATCCCTCCTCCTCCTCCCCCTCCGAGTCCGAAGAAACCAGCGCCAGGAGAGGCACTGAATGGATCCCTTCCCTCACTGCCAGCAAACCTTTCGTTATTGGCACCAGCAGCAGCAGCAGCAGCAGTAGGAGTGCCAGCAGCAGCAGCAGTAGGAGTGCCAGCAGCAGCATAACCAGCATTACCAGCAGCATCAGCACCGTCAACAGCAGCATCAGCAGCACCGCTACCAAATCTGTCCAAGAATATAGCCATCTTAAGACCGCTGCGCTTCCCACCCTTGCCCTTCCTCCACGTCCCATCTAAACCTCCCTCCGACACCACTTCTGTACCTGCTGCTGCTGGTGCTGTATAGTCGCCTTCTTTGCCTCCCCTTTGACCCAAACCATCTGCCGAGTCAAAAAGACGAGGAGAAGACGCAGTAGCAGCAGCAGCGGCGGCAGCAGCAGCAGCAACAGCAGGAGCAGGAGCAGCAACCCTAGGACTGGGGGTTCCAGTGCCACTGCCTTCCTGCTCCCTTTCTCTCGCCCTGTCTGCTTGCCTGCCGCTAATCTTCCCCAGCCCTCCAAAGGCCCACATGGAAATCGGCCCATCTAAGCTGCGCGTTCTGCGATGTCTCCCCTTCGATTTTCCCCCTCCTCTTCCTCCTCCTACTTCTCCTCCTCCTCTATCAACGGCTGTGCCTACCGCTGGTGCTACCGCCGCTACCGCCGCTGCCGCTGCTGCCGCTGACTCTGCTGCTGCATCTGAGGGGTCTGATTGAACCTTACATTCCTCTTTCCCAATAACAATGCTACTGCTGTCGCCACTGCCACTACCACCCTTCTCCTCACCAGCAGCAGCACTCCTCCCTCCGTGGGTGCTGCCACCCTCATCCCCACACTCGTTCCTGGGATCATCACGGCATGTGTCTGCTGCTGCATGCATTAAGGGCTCTGCAGAGGCAGTAGTGACGTTGAAGGCCTCAGCAGAAGCTGCAGAAGGAGAAGCAGCGGCAGTAGCAGCAGCGCCAGCAGCAGCAACAGCAGCAGCCGGAGAAGCAGCTGAAGCAGCAGAAGAAACAGCAGCAGGAAAAGGAGCAGGAGCAGCGGCAGCAGCAGCAGCAGCAGTATGGAAAGCAGAAGCAGCAGCGGAAGCAGCAGGAGGGGAAACAGCAGCAGCAGCAGCAGCACGTTTAGAGAGACCAAGCCCCTCAATCAGCGCCCCCACAAGAACCCTCCCGTCCATACTCAACGTCTTGCGATGCCTCCCCTTGCGCCCCTGCCTCCGCTCCTCTCCTCCTCCTGTTGCCCCTCCTCCACCTCCCCCTCCTCCGCTTCCCGATCCTCCTTCCCCCCATCCTTCCGCTTCTCCCCCCCCTCCCCCCTCTGCACGTCTTTCTTCGGGTGTGTTTCCTCCTTCCACGTCGGATTCTTCTTCTCCTCCTCCTCCTCCTCCTCCTCCTCCTCCTCCTCCTCCTCCTCCTCCTCCTCCTCCTCCTCCTCCTCCTCCTCCTCCTCCTCCTCCTCCTCCTCTACCTCCTGACCCTTCAACACCTCCTTTCCCCCCTCTCTCTCCCTTCCTCTCGCCTCCATCCAGGTTCATGCCACCCTCTACCGATCTTGGGTGTGGTAAATCGTGGTATTGAAACCGCCGCCGAGTTTTCTTCTTCGGCTGTTGCTGCAGCTGCTGCTGCTGCACGTTAGCCTGCCCGAGGTTTACCTGCCCCAGACCTTCCTGGTCCACGTACACCTGCTCGGTTTGCTTCGGTTGAACTGCGGATGGGCGGCTGCTGCCGGACCTAGTCGAGGGCGGCCAGCCGTGGCTCCAAGCCAGAACGGCAGGCTCGGCCGAGGTGGTTCGGAGCAGAGCCCGTCCCGATGTGAACGGAGAGCGGGAGGACGAGGCGGGACGGTAAGAGGCGTTGGAAGGAAGTGGAGAATGCGCAGCAGATGCGGAAGCCGCGAAGGGGGAGACTGCGAGCGCAGCCATGGCTTCCAGTATGGTGGAAGAAGCGGAAGGAGCGGAAAGAGCGGAAGGGCCGGAAGAAGCGGAAAGGACGGAAGGGGCGGAAGGAGCGGAAGGAGCGGCGGCGGACGAACGCGCTGTTGAGCGGGCGGATCCCGAGGCCTGGTCGGTGGCGTATGCAGTAGCCGTCGGAATTACGTAGCTGCCCGTGACGTCACTACCACCTGACCCTCCAACCACTCCTCCTCCCCCTGCTTCTCCTACTCCTCCCCTTCCTCGTCCTCCTCTTTTCCCTTCGTTCCCTTCCCCTTCCCCTTCCGCTTCTCCTTCTCCTGCCGCAACACGACGTTCAGCGATAGAGCTTTCACGCATCTCACGCGCGGCGCGGGAATCGACCCCTCTTCGAACTGCACCCGTGAATTGTTCCGAGGCAGCCTTTAACGGGTTTCTGCCGCTGCCGCGCCGCTTCCGCGCGGAACTGAAGTCGTAGCCAGACTGGAGAGACAAGGAGCGGAGAAGGACGGGAAAGCCGCGCGCCGCCTCCTTCCCTTCCCTAGAATCCTTTCCATCCTCTCTATAATTCCATCTGCGAGTCGCCGCGTTGCGGCCTTCCCTCTCTCCCGCGACGTCGCTATTCTTGAAAAACGCTTCCACGGTTCTCGATCTATCCGAATCGTCCTTCACTCTCCCTTCGCTCCGCCCTCTTTCTTCCATCAAGCGAGTCGCTTCACGCGTCGCGTCTTATAATTCCTGCGCCCCGCGTAGCGTCTCGTAATACCTGCGCCCTGATTGGGCCTCAGACAGAATCTAACCCTAAGTTCCGTTACGCCCTAATTTCGGCTTCGCCCTAATTCACATTTCGCCCTGGTTGGCCCTAATTCGGAGCTTACACGATTCGAGGCTCGCCCCGATTCGAAGTTAAGGCGAGAAAAGCCATTGCCCTGGAAGGCTAACCCTACCGCCAGTTGCGCGAGGCCAACGCTCCAGCTAAAGGCGGCGCGTGCGCTGCGACGGTCATATGGAACTAGCTTGTCACTCAATGCAGCAGCAGCAGCAGCAGCAGCAGGAGCTGCTAGCTCAATGCTCACGTGCCTCTCGCACTTCCACACCACACCTCACACCTGTCGCGAACAGAACAGCGGTTGCAAGAAATTCCGCGTTAACCCCCCTGACGGGATTTGTTTTGCACTTCCAAACTTATTTTTGACTAACATCGAAGGGGCTTCCGTGTCGTTCTCCTCACTGTACAGTGTACCACTTGACTTACCCTGTCAAGAGATTTGTACTGTACAGTCGGTGCCCATTTCAAGAACACCAGGTAGGCGGGCGGCATGTGGGTGAAACGAGTTTTGGGTGTTTCGCCACGTTCGCCCTTGTCGCCACGGGCAAAAATGTGACAGTAACATGAAATTGCAACGTGAATCGAGTTAAGGGCCTTAATTTTGTAACCAGGTTAACTTCTCTGATGACGGGCAGCCGTTGTTGTTTATGCACTTTAGATGTTTTTCTTCCTCAATTTCGTGACTGTACCCCGAAATCAGCACAATGGTCAATTTAGTCACTCACGGGCAAAACGTTCACGAGTGACTAAATTTCTAATTGTGGGGAGCAAATGTTTTTCGATAGGCTGAGCATCGACTGTACAATTCTTCGTCTTGTCAAGGACGAAGTGATCATGATGGGAAAGGCGTGAGGACGACTGCCATTGCCATGCAACTTCATGGTTTCACGAGGAAATCACCTTCTGAGGGACTTCACCTGAAGGGAGTGGGGGACCAGAATATTCCTGCGCACCGTACCAATTCGTAGTGGCAGCAGTTGAGGATGAAACGAAATCACCGCTGTCGCCACGAGAGAGCTTTGGCTCAAACGTTCACGACCTAGGGATTTCCTTGCGAGTTAACTTTGTATGGCCGCCCCTGCGTCCTGGTCCCAGGTTCGAATTAAGGGACCCACTGTCAGTCAGCAATTACATATGTATACATATGCTGCCTTTCCTGCCCTCTTCAAGGGACACGAACTTCAGGTAGCAGTCTAAACTGAACGAAAGTGTCGCTCTACGTTTCGCCACGGGGAATCGTGTGATAGGTGGTAACAGCTTTAACTTCTCTGCTGTATGGCGGACGGACAATATTGTTTCGAACGGACAAGAAAGTGACAATTTCGTGGATTCTGCGGTTTGAAACGGATGCCTCACCTGTTGTATCAATTGTCGTGTCGTTTCGTCAATGTACCTTGCCCACGAGCCTGCATGCCAAGCACCACCACGAGCCTACATGCCAAGCACCACCACAAGCCTATACTCAACTGTACAATGCTCCTCGTCATAACATTGAACGTTTCCAACCATCATAAATACATCATGAGAAGTACTACCAGCCTTGTGAATCGTTTACTTTTCTGAGACCCGTTGTATACACAATTTCTCCATTGTGCTAGTCCGGATTTGTTTCAGAGAGTCCATGGAAATGGGTAATATCACATCTCCGCATTCCATCACTGCATACTAATTTTTTGTTTTTGCCAACCCTTCAATCCGTGTTGCACAGGTTCAAAACCCTGATTATCAGTGTGACCCCTTGTCGGAAAACAGATTCATCAGGGTTCCTCCTTAGTTTAAATATTCAACCCTGAGGCATCAGTGTACAATGTTCTCGAACTTTGCTGAGATTGTCATTAACGGAGCACACAATAACAAATTTACACTTTCGACAGTTGGCAATCGGGAATTCCGGGTTACGGGGTAGGGGGGTTAGGGGAAAGAGGCGGGGGGGGGGGGGGGGGGGGGGGGGGCTGGTACTCGCTTCAGGGTAAAACTCGCTAAGAGGATTTGGCAACACTGAGGCGACGGTGTGCCTTATTCGTAAACCCTGGCACATCAGGGAAAATCAAGGTCCCTAAAAAATTACCCTACGGCATCAGTGTTACACCAGGGCCCACGTTATCAGTGTAAATCACCCTGATGCCCTGATTAGAAGGGTGATTTTTGGTAGTAACACTTATGCTGTTGGGTAAATTTTGTTGGGCTGAGAAAAGCCCTTAGGATCTTTGCAGGGGTCAACTCTGGGTAGGACTGATAGCGGAAGCGTTTTAATAAAGAGTTATGAACCACCTTGCGTTAGTATGTGAGGGCAAAGTAGATTGATTAAAGCAAAGAGATACAGAATTATATAAGAGTAGAAGGAATACGAAAAGTTATAACTACTTTACTATTGTTGTTGCGGTTCGATACAGTGACGACTCGGGCAACTGCTCTGTAACGAGTCAGTTGTGTAACCTTGCTGTCGCGCTGTATTTGTGAGGTCAAAGGTCGCTGACCTTTGACTTTCACGTAACCTCCAGCACTTGCTCAACCTCCGAGGGTTGACTCGCTGGTGCTCCGATATGTTTTCGCCTCGCTTGTGTCTTGGTGTTTCGACACGACAGATGCGCTTAAGATTGTTTGTTTCCAACACTCCCCTTCGCTTCTGGAGTGTCGGTGCTGGTGACGTGGCTCTGTCCAGTCAGCAGCATGCAGTACTTGAACTTCTGTTTTTCGAGCTTCTTGGTCAAGTAATCAGCTACCATCTCGGACGTGGGGCAGTATGACAGCTCGAGTCTCCCCTTCTCGATCTCGTCCTTCATGAAGAAATATCGCAGGGCGATGTGTTTCGTCCTGTTCGCGAAGCCGTTCTTGTTGGCTATGCGAATGGCTGACTGGTTGTCGTAGAACAGGGTGAAGCTGGGTAACTGAGCTAGCTTCGCTTCTTCCAGGAGTTCGGAAAGGTAGAGTCCTTCCTTGGTGGCTGAGCAGAGTGCTATATATTCTACTTCAGCTGAGGAGAGCGCGATTAACTCCTGTTTGCTCGACTGCCAGGAGATAGGTCTGATGGGTTCTAACCGATAGATGTAGCCGGTGCGCGAGCGTCTGTTGTCGGAGTCGCCCACGTGATCGGCGTCGACGTAGCCGATTAGCTTAGGCGTTGTAGTTGCGTTCTTGTGGTAAGTCAGGCCGATCGTTGGGGTACTAACGAGGTAGTGAAGAGCACGGTCGAGTTCCGCCATGTGTTCTGCTTCAGGTTTCTTGAGGTAGGTCGCAAGCTGACTTGCGGAGTATGACAGGTCCGGACGGCAAGTGACGGCTGCGAAGAGTAGACATCCCAGCTTTCTCTGGTAGTCGCGTATGCCGGCGGGCTTCAATGGAGCGGATTCTTCCTTGCAGTTTCCTGCCGCGTAGCGATATGGCGTGGAGATGGTAGTTGGTGTGAGAGCGAAGCGTTTGGCGATGGTGTCGGCGTATTTCGCGGCGCTGATGTAGATCGCGTCTTCCTCTTCCCAGATGTTGAGGCCAAGGTACTGTGTGACGGTAGATGAGACCGTGAGCGTGAGGTCTTGCTGCAGCTCCCCTTCGAACGAGGTTGTGACACCATAGGGTGAGGCCGATGTTAAGCAGATCGTCTACATAGACGATTAGCAGGATGTAGTCGGTGCCTTTCGTAAGCCGGTACATGCCCTGATCGTGCGGTAGTTGCTTGAAGCCGATGCGAATGAGGCAAGCGTGCAGGTATTGTTGCCATAGTCTCAGAGCCTGCTTGATCCCGTAGAGTGACTCCAGCAGCTGACAGACTTGGTTAGGTTCTCCGTTGGAGCCGTGCGGTAACTCGACGAAGATTTCTGCGTCGACAGGTGTCAGAACTTATAGCTTATGCTTTTGTGTAGGCTATAGTGGGGTATCCCATAGGGGGTACAACCCAATTAGGGTTGGTACTTGTACTCACACATTTCATAGTTCATCCATTCACGTTCTTACTTTCACATGGAATCAGAGCAGGTTCCCTCCTAGGGATAGCTTCTAGGGCCCACCGAACCGCGCCCCGAGGCGCGTTTTCCTTTTTTTTTTTTAGCGACCCTTCGTGTCGCCCCTAGCGGCCCGTCGCGCCGCCCTTCCCTTCGCGGCCCCGCCGCCCTTCGAACGCGGCTCCGCCGCCCTTCCTTAGCGGCCCCGCCGCCCTCTCCTACGCGGCCCCGCCGCCCTTTGCTACGCGGCCCTGCCGCCCTCTGCTACGCGGCCCCGCCGCCCTCTGCTACGCGGCCCCGCCGCCCTCTGCTAAGCGGCCCCGCCGCCCTTACATCGCGGCCCCGCCGCCCTCTGCTAAGCGGCCCCGCCGCCCTTACATCGCGGCCCCGCCGCCCCCTGCTACGCGGCCCCGCCGCCCTCTGCTACGCGGCCCCGCCGCCCTCTGCTACGCGGCCCCGCCGCCCGTACATCGCGGCCCCGCCGCCCTCTGCTACGCGGCCTCGCCGCCCTCTACTACGCGGCCCCGCCGCCCTCTGCTACGCGGCCCCGCCGCCCTCTGCTAAGCGGCCCCGCCGCCCTTACATCGCGGCCCCGC